CATTCCCATTACCGGCCTTGACTGTTGCTGAGGCTGAGTAAAAGATGAGCTACCGATACCGGGGTTGGCTGCACTTAAAGCTGGGAAGGATGAGTTGAGCGAACTGAGTGTCGTGTCCGGTGTGACAGAACGACCCTGTGGTTTGGGAGCTGAGAGATTCGTCATCGGTGGAGGAGACACTGGAGGTGTAGACCAGGAGAATGTTGGGGCTGGAGATGCATCGTTGGATCCCATTCGATTGTTTGATGGACGCGAAGGGAGAATCGTCGAGGACGTCGCAGATGATGGAGCGTTTGCCCATGCGTCCCCTCCAAGCATGTCTGTACCACCAGAAGATCCCTGCTGTCCACCCCGTACGAGGGCTTCAAAGTCTGCCTCACCATTCCCATTGCTCGCGTCGAAGCCATTCGTAGTAGATGGGCCGCCAAACGTCATGAACTCGTTGCGTGTGGTTGCTGTCGAGCTGTTTGCGCCCAACTCTTGTAGTTTTCGGGTCTGCTCGTTCTCCACACGTGCTGATGTCGACTTGATGAGAGTCATGTATGCCTGGAACTGGGGAAGGTTAAGTAGGGGCCCCAGACTGAACTGCCATAGAATGGGTAGAACGTCCATGGCTAGGAAATCGCTATCAACTGAATTGCTGATGGCTTTGAAGACATCTAGTGCAGCCATCTATATCAGTTAGCTTTCTGCTTTGGGATTTATTTAGTCAAACATACCATGACTGCGGGCTCCTTTGTCTTGATAGCGCGGAGGAGCGGCACAACCTTTTCCTGGATGGTGTACTTGTCGAGGATCGATACGTTAGAGCTTTTGGCTTTGGGGGCTGCCACCACACCAGTCAGACCGTCACCCTGATAGTCGTCTTGCTGTTCATTTCCGCCACCACAAAGAGTCTTGAAAGCTTCCAGACCACGAATCTTAATACCCATACTACTGGTCTTTGCAAATATGCTAGCAATAACCGGGAATAGCTCGTTCTTAACAGTCGAGAAGTCAAGAATCGGCAAAACGACAGGCAGGGTGCGCAGGGCAGCATCGACCAGAGAGTGAGTAGGAGACTCGAGGGCATAATTGATGATAGGAAGGATATCGTCTTTGAACTCCTTGCCACTGCAGTTGTCTGCAGCGACCTGTATGTTTTCGAGTACAACCATGAGTCCAGCTTCCTTCAGGCTGTCTCTTTCCTGACCTGGTGCTTTCGTATTTGTAGCCGCCGGATTCAAGAATGTCTCTCGCAACTTGGGAATGACCTTTTCGGTGAAAGCCTTTTTGCCAGAAGGGAGCATGGTGATGATCTTGAACACATTCTGAAGGATCAGTGTGAGGAGCTCGCGGTCCTTCATCTCCTCAAGTAAAGCCGGGAGTATCTTTTTGTCTACTACGGATTTTGGAAACTGGTTCAAGATGCGTGGTAGGCCCCTCATAAATTGTGACTTCTCATTGGGAGTCTTTGCTGGCAGCGAATCGAGAAATCGAATTGTAGATACCAAGATGTTGTCAAAGTATTGTGCCTGTTGGAACTCTCGAGCGTCCAGTCGTTGTGCAGGGCGTCTTGTAATCAAGCGATCCAAGACCCCATTGGTAAGATCCCGTGGCAGTGGCTGTGAAGACATGAAATTGTTGGTTTTGCTGGGCACCGAAGACGACGACGAAAAAGCCCGCTTGTACGAGGAAGAGCTTCCATTGAATTCAAGAGGGCTTTTGTGCGGCGAGTTGTATAGTGCGATTATGAGCATACCCAGGCTGAACATGTCAGCTGCAGGTGTTATGTTGTTGTCCATGACGAAATCGGGCGAGGAGTAATCGAGGTTGAGCTGAACGTGTCGAGGGAGTCGGGCATCGTAGTTGAGGACTTCGGCAAGTGAAATCGGCGTTACGGACGTGGGTTTCGTAGAGTTCTCCGGAGGCGTTGTGAAGCCTAAACCTGATATTTTCCAATCAGACTATGACCGCGATCAGTAATTTGAGGCATGTATAGCATTGCGACTACCTACTTTAGCATTGATGAAGATGGCGTCAGGCGTTAGGTTGGCATGTACCAAGCCAGCGCTCTCATGTAAGAACTCGAGTCCTTTTGCAATCTGTAGCAAGCCCTTCTGTATCTCGAGCTCGTCAATCTCGAGTTCGCGCCTGCGCTTCTGACCGTCTGCTTCTTCGATGACATAGCGACTGCGACGTCCTCCAACACCGCCAGCCTTCTCTTGTTCGTCCTTTTCCAGTAACAGACCAGAAAGCGAGGCTGTGACAGGCTCTGTTGCGAACATGAGGCCTCCACCGCGCGTTTCCTCAACAGGCTCCACCAACTCCAAGACGCTCGGGTGCCGTAATCTAGCGAGCGAGCTGGCCTCTTTCTTGAGCCGTTCGACCACCTCCTCATGCGCCCGCTTTAGCCCCGAAGCTGCAGAGCGGCCGCCAAAGCCGGCGCCAGCAGGCGGTTCCAATGACTTCTTCTCGAAGATAAAGACGGAGGCCGGTTTGCCCGTTGATTTCTTCTTGGCGTCGTATATCTTCCATGGCCCTGAACAGGATGTGGGCTGCGGACTGAGGGTGTAGTTGCTGGAGATGTTGGAAGTGAAGGACTTTAGGGCGTTGGAGAACATGGTGCCAGTGGTCTCGCCCGGGCGGCAATGTCGTGGGTGTAGGGCGAGGGCGTCATGGACCGTGGCCTCTTGGGCTGGATTCGCGTAAGAGTCTGAGACAGCTGGGCCTGAGAGATCAAATTCCAGGCATCCCAGATAACAGCCCTTTTTTCCGCGCGGCGCTCCGAACCGTCTCGGCTGCTAGCGGATCGTCAATGTAGGCACGTTGAATGATAGTTGAAGCCAAGTGTTAGACCCCACGCGAGCCACGGTCCAGGGGTGTCTTTTAGTGTAAGTACGGCGCGTGCATGAACACGACGCTGTGTGTCCAGTATGCTGCCGCCGCCACAGACAGATCAGCACTCTAGGTAACGACGCGAATAACCTCAAATACCCGCCTTAGTAGTCTCGATACCTCGGCCACGCCCTTTCGCATGTGGCGGTGAGGGCGGGTGTTTGTAATTCAACATGACTGTTCGCATCGCCGGTTGGGGCTCCGGTTACGTCTAGACCCCAGTCAGGTCGCATAGTCCGAAAGAATCAACCTTTAACACAACTTGCAACTCCCATCCACGTCCACATCTATTCTGCTTGTGCAGCATACGCCACAATGCTTCAGCAGCGGTCGTCACGATTGATATCTTCGCTGTCCCATTGCGCGTTCCGCTCATCAGCAGCACCGCTCAGCGCCTCGCTGCGATGTCGGACGAGGAGACCGTACAGCATACACGCTGATGTATCCGTTGGCGAAAAGATCCGGGACATTGATCCCACCAAGCTCAGCATCACCAGGACGACCACACCAAAGGACCTGTTGCCTCCGGAGGAACTCGTCTTTGGTCGTAACTTCTCAGGTAAGAGCACCTGCCGCAGTAGATTATGAAGTAGACTCTGCGACTGACCCTCAATTCCCAGACCACATGCTATCGCTCGAATGGACAGCAACCCAAGGATGGCTTCCAGCGCGTATCACGCCCTACCAGAACCTCAGTCTCGACCCCGCGACTTGCGTCTTCCATTATGCATTCGAGTGCTTCGAGGGCATGAAGGCCTACAAGGATAAGAGCGGCAACATTCGGCTCTTCCGGCCGGACAAGAACATGGCCAGGCTGAACAAGTCATCTGCCCGGATTGCATTGCCTACCTTTGACCCAGACGCCCTGACTGAGCTCATTGGCAAGTTTGTCAAGGAGGATGAGCGGTTCGTTCCCGAGTAAGTTCACTCTTGAGCACTGTGCACATCACCCACGCATACAACTAACCATATGGCAGTGCACGAGGATACTCTCTCTACCTTCGCCCCACCATGATCGGTACTCAGCGCACCCTCGGTGTAGGCCCTCCGGCTTCGGCACTGCTCTACGTGATTGCTTCGCCAGTTGGCCCCTACTACCCCACCGGCTTCAAGGCCATTTCGCTCGAAGCTACAGACTATGCTGTGCGCGCATGGCCAGGAGGTGTCGGTGACAAGAAGCTTGGTGCCAACTATGCGCCGTGCATTGTGCCACAAATGCAGGCCGCAAGCCGTGGATTCCACCAGAACTTGTGGTTGTTTGGTGAAGAGGAGTACATTACCGAAGTCGGCACCATGAACCTGTTCGCTGCGATCAAGAACAAGGAGACTGGAAAGCCAGAGCTTCTCACTGCGCCGCTCGATGGCACCATTCTCGAGGGAGTCACCCGCGACTCTATTCTTGAGCTTGCGCGAGAGCGCTTGGTGCCCAAGGGCTGGGCTGTGACTGAGCGCAAGTTCACCATGAAGGAAGTGGCTGATGCCGCTGACGAGGGACGCATGATGGAGATCTTTGGCGCAGGAACCGCTGCTATTGTTGCTCCAGTCCGAAAGATCAGCTGGAAGGGACGTCTCATAGACTGTGGGCTTGAGGACCACGTTGAAGCTGGACCTGTTGCGCAGCAGATGAAGGAATGGATGGAGGCGATCCAGTATGGTGACGAGGACCACCCATGGAGGTATGTGCACTGCAGTTATCATGACGATGTCGATCAATTGCTAACACTCAACAGCTACAAGGTCATCTGAACAAGGAGATGTTGATCAATAGCTGTGCTGTCTTTTGCTTTGCTTCTCTATACAGGTCATCAGGCGGATAGACGTGATGAAGGACGCTGCGGGGCTATGGATGCATGGGGCGATGCAAAGAACTATAGAAGGCAGTGTCCTTGCAGTAGACTAGAGGGGCCTCAACCACGCATTTGTGTCTGTGCCAATTCAGCCCAATCTTGACTGTGGGGGTGAAGCATTGTCGCGTCGAATATGAGGGTGAATGCTGAGCCCATGTACCTCAATGGATGTAGTATGTATGTCGTTCCCACATGGGGCCTTATTAGCATGCAGCTAGCTCCCGAGCTCTGCACGTTGTTTCCTCTCCGCCCGCTGCCCTCTGCCGCCTGCTCTCCGCCCACACACTCAGTTCACCACCGACTGTCTCCAATTGCCCGCCAGAGCTGCGCCCCGTCTTTTTGACATTGCCAGTACACGTCCCATTGTACCGCCCCTCGCGCAATTCGCACAATGCTGGCCGGCGCACTCTGCCGCTTGGCAGCCGATGTCCCCAGGGCGTCCCCACACAATGTGCCGCAACTCGCACGCCACCTTGAGCGCGTGCTCGTCATTCGCAGCGCCGCTGAATCCTCCCCCGCCCGCGCCTCGTCGCGCACCTACGCGTATGCCCGCGCCTATGCTACGACTACACGCGCAACCAAGCCCACGGCCACTGTGAAGAAGGCGGTCAAGGCGGCCGCAAGCGAAAAGACCCCGCCAAAGAAGAAGGCTGCACCGGCAAAGACAACTGCAAAGAAGCCAGCAGCCAAGAAGACAAAGACGACAAAGAAGAAGCCAGCGGCCAAGAAGCCAGCAGCCAAGAAGCGTGTGAAGAAGGTACTGACCGAGGAAGAGAAGGAGAAGGCCAAGATCCGTGAGCTGCGCGCAAAGGCCTTGAAGGAGCCCATTACGCAGAGGTCGCTCTCAGCCTTCCATGTCTTTGTCAGCGAGTTTGCCAGAGGCAAACCAAGCAGCAACAACCAACAGCTGGAAAAGATCACGAATGCTACAAAGGAATTCAAGGCCCTATCCCCCGCACAGCTCGAGGTAAAAGACCTCAACACCTACCTCATACACGTGTGTACTAACGGTCATGCTTAGCACTACAACCACCTTGCCAATGAGCAAAATGCTGCAAGGAAGGCCGAATTCAACAAATGGATCATGTCCTACACCCCGCAACAGATCCGCATTGCCAACCTCGCTCGCGCCTACCTGCGCAAGAAACTCGCCGGCAAACAGAAGGGTCACCCTTCCCACACTACCAGACTGATCGATCCCCGCCACGTCAAGGTCGCATTGAACCCCTACACCTTGTTCTTCCGAGACAGACACGCCACCGGCGACTTCAAGGGCATCCCAGTTGGCGATGCCGCCAAGCTCATTGGTGCTGAGTGGAAGGCATTGAACGAGAGTGAAAAGCAGGTATGTTCTTCTCCCACTGAGCAGTTAGCATGCAATCATCGTACTAACGTGAGAATCAGAAATACCAAAGCGAGGCTAATGCTCTAGCTGCCAAGCAGTAAGACGTAAATACTGTGTGTACACAATTACCGCCCTTGCACTACATGAGCAGATTACCTTTCTAATGCCCTCGACTTGGCTCTGTTCTGCTTTGAACCACACTCTGTGCGACTGTATTCCCTTTTTTTCCTTTGTATGCCGGTTAGAAGGTTTTAAGGGAGGGAAGGGGTATTGGGGATAAGGCGTTGGAAGGGGGGGGATGTAATACCACTGTACACCCATCTAGTCTGGCTACTAGATTTTTGGCGGTCGGTTTTTCAAGGTTAGGCTAGGTTCACGGAATCGAATGAGGGTTACGCGATACCGTATGCAGCTGAGACATGTTTCTGATGAGTTATCCCCATACTTTTGATTTGAAGGCCTAATGGAAGACAACGTCTGCGTGAGGGTATGTAGTATTATGACTTGACATTTTCTCCTTTGCACTAAGGACGCCTAACGCGTCTTTTTGTTTTACTTTCACCTCAGTCATTGATCCCCGCGTCGGGAATCCATAGACATGACATTGTTGACATGAAGCTTTTCAGCAAACCATAGCAATTAGTCACAAATACAAAACTGGTCGCAAACCATGCGTGAATATACCCCGCAAAAAGCAACCAGCAAGGAAATAAAAAAGACAATCAGAGGAAAAACAAACCACGCGTCTACCCCGCCTGTCAAAACAGACTAGACAAGCACTCATACACATGCATATGCGTGGTGCCAAAAGCAGTTTACTTTTTATAGTTCATCTATTCTCATCTAGATTGAGACTATTTAGCCACTTCACTCTGTCTTACATGCACGTATGCACCTATATACGTTGCCGGGCCTTAAGCAGCTTTCTGCTTCTTCAATATATAATCACCGCCTTTTACCGCCTTGTATATACCATAGAGACCGGATAAGAACGCATTGCTTTTCACAAACCTCTTCAACAAGCCCTTGACTCCCGTGCCAAAGTCTTGTTTCCGGCCTCGGTCCTTGACCTTGTCCCATATCGAAGGCAGAGACGTGGCGTGGTATTTCCGACGGAACTCGTCGTACTTGTGCTTGTCGTAGACCTGCCACCACTCATCTTCACTGTAAAATACGCGCGAGTAGAGCCATTTCAAACCGCCTAGCTCCCGCATCTTCGCTTCAATCTCACGGTTCGCACGGACGAATTCTGCTTCGTTAGATGGATACGGGCCCCACAGCCCGACACTGATAC